ACCTCAAGAGCTGCACCGACCACTGTGCTGAAACTGCTGAGAACCAAAATCATTAACTCCAAGAGTAGTGTAAAACACGCCCACAAACACCTGATAATTTTAACTCTATAATATTACGTGATATGGGAGTATTCCTCAACACAAATAGTAGTTAAAGTAAAAAATATAACTCCAATAAAGTAACCCTTTTACACTTTTTAACTTAACTTACAACTCCAGCAATTTGCTGTGTATAAACCGATAAAACATTGAATGCCTTTGTATGCATACGCATATACAAGATGGAAGAATATGAATAGTAAATAGATAAATTACAGTAATTGCAATGAGTCCCAGGGATATTGCACTTTTGTCAAGTTGATGCTATTGCAAGCACCAGTACAGTATTTAGCATTGATGGGTAACAGCGAAAGACAGAAGATCAGAACCTAGCACTTAGATGCAGTGAACAGTCATTTAACCGAGTTCAGGTCTTTGATAGTGCTCGGGTAGAAGCTTTTCAGTAGCCTGGAAGTGCACGTCATAATAGATCTGTAACGCCTTCCAGAGGGCAGCAGAGTGCAGAGGTGATGCCCTGGGTGAGATGGGTCCCTGATGATTCTCATGGCCCGTCTAAGACATCGGGTTCTGTATATGTCCTCAAGTGAGAGTAGCTGGGTTTTGGTCAATTTTTGTACAGATTTGATGACTACCTGGAGGGTCTTCCTTTGAGCCACTGAGCAGATAGCAGACCATAGCAGGATGCCACAGGTGAGTGAGCTTTCCACAGAGCACCTATAGAAGGACACCAGCAGCTGCTCGGACAGGTTAGGCTTCCTCAGTATCCGTAAGAGGTAAAGCCGTTTCTGTGCCTTCTTCACAGAGTGGCTGTGTTGAGAGACCATGTGAGGTCCTGGGAGATGTATGTGCCGAGGAATTTAAAGCTGGCCACTCTCTCCACTATGTCTTCTCTGATGTATGGAGGAGCAGGTTCCTCTTCCTGCTCCCTGAAGCTGATAATCTGCCTCTTTGTTTTCATGGTGTTGAGTGCCACGTTGTTGATGGAGCACTATTCCGACAGTTTGCTGACCTCGTCCCTATAGGCAGACTCCTCACTGTTGCATGTACAGTAAGTCCTACTACAGTGGTGTCATCTGCAAATTTGATGATTATATTTGTGATGTGTGTTGGTGCACAATCGTGGGTATACAGGGAGTAAAGAAGAGGGCTCAGTGCGCAGCTCTGTCGAGCTCCAGTGCCGAGTGTCAGGGTTGGGGGGTGGTGAGTCCCCAGCCTAACAGTCTGTGTATGATTTGTAAGGAAGTCCTTGCTCCATCTGCCGATGTGCTGATTGAAATCCAGGTTGGGCAGTTTGGTCACCGTTCTGCTGGTGATGATCGTGTTAAAGGCGGAGCTGAAGTCCACAAATAAAATCCTCACGTATGTCCCTTGGTGTTCCACGTGAGTCAGTACATTATGGAGAGCTGTATTGATGGCATCTTCCATTGACCTGTTGGCTTTCTTGGAGAATCGGTGCTGGTCCAGGGTGGGTGGAAGTGAAGATTTAATGTGCCTGAGGACCAGCTTCTCGAAGCACTTCATTATAGTGGGAGTGAGAGCTACAGGTCTGTAGTCATTAAGGCTGCTGATTGCTGTCTTCATTGGAACAGGCACAATGGTGGCAAACTTAAGGCGTTTGGGGACAGTGCATTGTGACAGAGAGAGGTCAAAGATGTTGCTGGGCACCTCTGCCAGCTGATCTGTACAGTCTCTGAGGGCCTTGCCTGGAATTCCTTCTGGGACAGTGGCTTTGCTGAGGTTGGTACTGCGGAGTGCAAGTGTACAGGAGATAATATTCTCAATGTAATCTCTGTTAAAAGATCAAATATGAAACAGAAAGTTAAGGCTAAAGGAATGGCATGAAATACCATGTTAAGCATGTGACACTCATGGGTCCCTTATAATACAGGACGACCCCTTTTTGGAACATGCTACATCCTGTAGGATGGTGAAACCCTTCTGTAAGGTCATGGACTATGTTGAAAAAGGAAATCACAATATTTAAATGTAGAGCAGACATATTGTCTTTCATCTTACTCTCCATGAGACGCACAGACAGGTGACAGCAGGCTGAGGCGGGGGGGGGATGGTGCTTCATAGGCCCAATAACAGCATCAGTCCGCTGCCCAGCGGTTTGAGCCAATGACCTTCATGTCACAGGCCCAGAGTCATAACCAGCTGAGCCACTCACTGCCTCCCAGCTAATCTACAAATATAGGAGGGCATCATTGTTATTGTAAATAATTATTTATGATTACTTAACTTAATTAAAGAATTTATCTAGCTTAAGCTAGCAGTATAACTAATCCTCAAATTATGCTAATATGTTTAATCGCAAACAGGATTATCAATAGAAAGTTTGCATGCATCCTTGATGCAGTAGGGAAGGGGGTCACACTGCCTGCAACCCACCTTACTTGTTTCAAATGCAGCTGTAATGCTGGGCTCCACAAACAAGATTCTGCTCACGGCAAACCTCCTTACAGCCTGATCCTGCATGTAGAACCTTCATCGCCTGAACGTGGCTGCTGTTTGGTACTTCGTTAGGGTTTTTTAAAAAAAAAGCCAATGTGAAGAACTACTTCTTGCATGAGAAAATAATGGTTTTTGCTTATTGGTGTTCTGCGTGAGGAGTGGAATGAGAAAATTTCTATTATCCTGGAAGAAACTGTTTATGAGACTACACAGTACAACACAACAAGATAAAAACAGGCAATACGTAGTACCACCAGATACAGCAATCTCTCTATAAAAATAAATAAGCATGACATCTAGAGATGATAAATAGGTGAGTGAATATGATGATAAGTATGGTAAATATTGCACACAAAAGACAATAAATAGACAGATATTGATTAAGACAATAGGTATTGTTGCACATACCCTGATTGATTCACTGATTGTAAAATCCGATGGCCGTCGTATCGAATGACTTCCTGTGGATGTTGCTTGTTCTACCTACATTGCACTTGTTTCTGCTGGTTATTCTGGATTCCTCTCACAGTCCAAAGACATGTCGTAGGAAAATAATAAAAATACAGACCAGGTGAGATTAAGTTCTTTGTTCCTTTATTCTTGTCCAAGATGGTGACATTCCAGACAAGCAGGCAGAATGTACACTGTCGGCTGGGAATCCTCCCTCTCTCACACACTAGCTGTTTGCATCACCTCTGATTTTGCTCTCGCTCTTTTCCTGTCTCATGTCTTGGTTATTTTCTCACCGGGGAGTTCTGTCACTGCTTCCCCTTCCCTAATGTATCTATTGCTTTTTGATTGATGCGGTTTATCTGACATATCTGCAGGCTTCTAGCCAAGCTCTCTTAAATCCATTTTCTTTCTCGTAGGAGCTTCCTCTCTATGGGCCACCTAATTGCATACAGTATGTATTCCTTTCTGCATAGCCATCACTATAGTCCCTCCTTGGCTAATCCCATGCACAGATGATGCTCCTTCTGAACCTATCCCATAATTCCCCAGGTTTGGGCATCAGTTTCTGCTGGTCCCGCCACGTTCCTCAGCTGGCCTCAGGACAAACGTGCCATCCACACTCCTTATCCCACCAAACATTGATATATATTTTTAGCATAAGCATTCTTATACAGAGTATTTATAGTGCCAGCATTGGTTGCATCTGGCAGCTTTAAGCAGATTCTCCTTTCCACACATGCATTTAAGCTTATTACCATTCCTAAATTGCGCATATTGTTTGTGTGTGTACCCTGTGAATGGCAGGGTAATCCACCTTTTAAGATGGATTAATGCCTTGGTTGCAATTGTCATATCTCTATTATCAGTTGTACTGTTTTGTTTACACGTCTGGCCTGTGTAGGGTAGGAAGCGTCAGTGGGAGAAAGCTTTGGCCTGCGCATTTAATGCTCCTGTCATCTGAGTTTTCTTCCTGATTTCGGCACGTGATTTAAAATACTGCAGATTTTTAATGTTTCGAATTTTTTAATTAGTAAGGGATGTGGCAGAACATGGTAGTTCCCGTTGTCACATAATGATGGTTACAAATATGTTTAAAAACTGTAAAAGATTTTTCAATAAAAAATAAAAGAAACTCATTATGCCACATACTTGTGATTCATGGTATTACTAGACAGCTGTAATATACTGAACTAGGTTAAGAGGATTAATGGCATTAACTCATTTTTAGAGCGATAGTTACAGCCATTTAGTTGCTTCTCCAGACATGAGTAAAAGCTCATCCAACACTGCATCATTCTGCGAACATTTCTAATAGTGTCTGATGATAGTCTAATAAGTTTTTTGGTTCATAAATCTTTTATCACATAAAACTGTGCTATTATTAGCCCAGAAATACCATATTCGCTTCAATTGGCCACATTGATTTTCTGCCGTTTGTACAGTAATAGCTTGCCGGTGTGGGTCTGGAGTGCATCTCCATGCTACATGAGATTGAAAATGAGATTCTTTCAATGGGCCGCAGATGCTTCCTGTTCCCGTGAATCACTTCAGCGAGTAGCCCGTTCCCCGTGTCCATGCGTAATGCAATTGCAGTTCCGCGCTTCTCACTTCCCTGCTGCCTCGCTTATGCAGACCGACGGCGTGCGCTGCTTTCAGGGTACGTGCGGCGCCACTTTTTGCCGATTTGCAAAGCGAAGCCTACAGAGTGGAAACGCATACAAAAGTGCACTAAGATAAATAGAAGTGCATCAATCTGCCGATAAAATCAACTTTTTGATCCCTGAAAACCATCTCTGCCGATATACTGAGCTCTTGTGAAGAGGAGTCATGGTTAGTTTCTGTAACTAACTCCTGGGGTACAAAACATGCGTATAATCGAATCTGTCAAATGACTCAATCAATTTACAGGGCGGTCTTCTGTCTTTAATGTTATTATTTTTCTATAAAGGGAACTTCAGCATAGTTCAAGAGGTTAGACGGCATGTCCTGTTGCTGGCACGCACACTTCCTTCTTTTCTGGCAATACTATAATTTATTGTTTAATCTGGTTTGTGTCTAAGAAAATGTATGACTTTCTGTGCGTGTTGAGTGTCATATAACTGTCTAAAGGTGCATCCAAGACCAGGCTCCAGTGCAGGAGTAGCCCTGAACAGTGGGTGTATGCGCTTTGTGTCCGCATGGATACTGATCCACTGCATGTAATTAAACCACATCTAATAAGCCCCCATGCCTTTTATGTGCTGTCCCTCTGTATGGGTGCATTCGACAACCCATCAGGTCGCAAGCACCGGCACAAAAGGCTTTTATCTGTTTGTGGATTTTTTTTAAATCAAGGAGTACCTGAATGAAGAATAATGCCATTAATTTTTTGTTTGTGCTGATGCACACACCACACGCTTCTCCCCAAAGCCTGACCATGCTCCGTAATGGGAGCACACTCTTTAATAAAACATCTCATCAGGCATCTGAAGCTTCCTTTTTGTATGTTTATAGAGACTGAATGCAAATCGGCACATTAATTAAAAGCTTTAATTAAGCCCGGCTGAGGGGGGTGACACCGCATGGTGACTGTAGCATGGCATGGATGTCACCAACAGGTAGAGCTTGGGACTGTCCTTGTCGTTAGTGTGACTGCAGTCCAATGCAGGTTCTCAGTATTTTAAAGGAGCAAAAAAGAATAAATCTGATTTAGATGTAGCAAATGAATAAAAATGTATTAGGCTTATATCTTATACCCAGTGTCAGCAACTATCCTCCAAGCGACTCTTGTTAAGAATATTTTTAAACGCAACTTCATCCTGCAAACCCAGGTATAATTATGTCTTTTATTTTTATATAGGTATACAATATGTGTAAAAAATGTGTAAACATGATCAAGCCTTTGACTTGTCATTCATGGACTTCCAAGGTTTTAATAAACTTTTAAAATAAAGTTGCTGTAGTTATGATTTAGTCACATGTTTCTATGTGTAGATTGCAAACTGTCCATTTTTAACTTAAAAAAATGTAAACATAAAACGTATACTCTGAAATATATAAACATACACAACAATAAAACACATCTTCAAGACAAAATTTGCAAGGTGTTGCTATTCTAGACTATAAACACGAAAAACATTCCAAATGAAATATTTAACCTTTTTTGGTCTCTCGTCTGCTTAGTTTGCCGAGGTCTTTTTAATGATTTGCATGTTGAATGTTATCAGCCATTCATTCAGCACAGCATATCACATTTGTCTCAGTACATTTTACCTTGCTCCCAATATTCATAAAAACAGAAAAATACAGAGACTTGGGCATTGTTACTTTCAACAGTGCTGGCCAATCTACGATGACAAACGTGTCAGATCACTTTGGTCTTAATTTTACTCCAGTTCTCCAGCTATATACGACAATGAGTATGAATTTTCTTTACAATAAAGGCTCTAATGAAACGTCACCCAAACAATAATACAAACCTTTTTCACAAATTATTTTGGTTGCCGAAACATAATTTAGAAAAGACCATTCTGTTGCTATTCAAGGGCATCCAGCGTAGCTCAGCTGGAATTAGCAACGCCAGCGGGGGAGGGGTTTCTTAACCAAGGGGACTTTGGCATTGAGTTTCCACCTTACAGAGCCATTTCTGAGAGCAGGAGTAGACAACTACATCATAAATTACAGGTAAGCTTCTTTCACATCAAGACGCAGAAGTAATAAGATTCACAAGCTATAGCAACAAACGTCGTCTTTTGCCTTTGCTCACACAATATTTCCTACTTAAAACAATTTACATAAATTATATTTTTTTGTCTTTAAAAATACCTAGACAGTGACTGCTCAGTCACCACAAATATTATTGGAATATTTTTTCCAGAATCAAAATATGCAGTCCTTCCATTATGTCCTTTAATTGTGGCTCAGAACTGGGGGGGGGGGGGGCTTGCGCTGTCATTCTTCCCCGTTCGCTAGTGTATGTACATCCTGCTCAGTCTTCCCAGTGATGCCAGGCTTATGGGACGGGAGTCATGGAGAGTGATTCTGTCTGGAGGTCCGGCACGGTCCTCTCTGGCCGCAGACAGACAGCCAGGCGCTGTAGTTGACATAAACACAGCCTTAGAAAGCATCATACACACGTGGGTCATTCTGTGGTTGCAGTGGAAGAAGAGCAAAAGGCTAACAATGACCTTTGTAGCACTTTGGCTAAAGATCTCTACCCAAAGCTATCATAAGCTACATGCTTTTGGAAGCAATATATCCACAAATATATTCTAAGCAACTACAGAATGCTAGGTAACACTTTTCCTGGGTTTGCCATCCAAAAAGGACTTTCCTAAGCTATATGAAGGTGTTTTGAAGTTCTTGCTTATGTGTCTTGACTGAAGAGGTCATCAAAAGTTTTTTAAAGACATTAGGTTGAGGATCTAACCTGCTTCAGAGAGCCTGGCGTCCACACCAGCTTGTACACCATGTAAATGGGGATCCACATGAAAGAGGAGATGCCAATGAAGTAACCTACAGTGATACTCCAATCTGGGTACTCGTACTCAAACAGAGTGAGGGGGGGCTGGTGCAGGAAGGAGCTCACGATGATATACTGAAGGGGAAAAGACAAACGTTAGCCCCGCAGCGGGCCAGCCCGCTGAACATCAGTGCCTGTCCTAACAGTGGACTCATCCAAAGTACCTCCACTGTTCATTCACCACTCTGTTATGTACAGTGGTCCTGAAATGCCAGAACATGTCAACATTAACACAAAGCAAAAACATAAAGACGACGCAAAAGCACCAAGTCAAAAAATTAAGTTAATTTTACTTTTTAATATGCTGTGTTCCTTTAACGTGTTCTGTTCTCTTAATGTGTAGGGTTTCCTCAAGGTATTGCGGTTTTCCAAACAGCTGTGCTCCGTGGCACAGGGGGCAGTATTCAGCTCTCGATATCGTGTCTCTGATACCGATATCTATGGTAGCTGACTAGTGTCAATGGGTCACAAATTCAGAAAACACTTACGTGTTAAATAGATGTTAACGAATGGAAAAATCCTTCACCTCATGTTTTGAGATCAGTGTCATGAACGGACAAAAAAATGAATCTGTTGGTGGGCATAGTTAAGAACACAACACATTTAAAAATTAAATTTGCTTAATTGTTTGTGTCATTAATGGTGATGTGCCGCAGTAATTATGTCGTTTTTGATGCTGGTCTTATTTTTTTGCTCAACTTGTGTTGCTATTGCTCAGTCTTTATTGGGATGTTCACCTGATCCCATTAGTGTATCTTCTGCCAGGCTATAAACTCCACCCACTGAGAGCCAGGGCTGGGAATCAAACCCACTGCTCTAGAGGTGGGGGGCCACTGGAGAAGCCACTGTGCCGCCTCACAGTTTCACTGCAAAGGTTAAATGGTAACAGTGATTTCTCAAAAGCGATCTGCGGCCATCAAAATAAACTATGAAATTATCCAGGCAAATGTACATTTATGGTATTAGGTTACTAAAAGCAATGCCAGGGGCATCATTATGGTTCTTGAAAATAAGACATAATGAACATTTGTGCAATTAATAATGAACTCTTATCATGTTATTTTCATGCCATTTTTCTTTTTTACAAGATTAGCAGCAACTAAATCATATAAGCATCCAATTACATAAACGCATTTTCCAATTAATGCATCAAGAAAATAAATAAGACCCATGTGTTTTATTAGACTTAAATGCAATAAACCCTGTTTACCTGAAAGCACTGGCCATGTGTGGCATTGTCCAGTCCTGGGATGTGTTGTGTGACCTTCAGTATTATGTAATACCGCTAAAACTGCACTCTAATGTAGAAAGATAGTGTGGGTGACGGCAGATGCTGGCTGTCTGTTGAATGTAGACTTTTTAAATCATATCTCAGTAACCAGGGAGCAAATTAAATACATCCATCCATTTTGCATGTGCCACAGGGCAAGTGCCACCTTGCCAAGATGCCAGCCCAGCCCAGCCCAGGACACACACAATCACACATGCCAAAGCTAATTTGACAAAATGTACTGACACATCAACGAATAACAAATATGAAACACATTCAGTCAGAGGTAGTATCTTTAGTTAGTGTTAATTGTTTTTGCACAAGCAGTTTTGTCTCTATAGTCTGTCTGTTAACTCTTTATATCTGTGCTTGGCTTGGGTGAATTTTTATTGTGGGGGACACCCCCCCCCTCACCTCATGTTCATTTTACAGGCAAGTATTTCAAAATACTGGCATAACATTGCATTTGAAAAATATCCTCAGGATATTGTAAACCATTGCATAAATGCTGGAGGGTATGACAGTATGAAAAATTAAATACTGCCCGAACCTAGTCTGGCCCCAGTCGGCTTTAGGTAGGGAAAAACATACGGCCATATGGATGAATTTCACATTTGATGAAATGAAGAAAACAAGAGTACAAGCCAGGTGGAATGGGAATAGCATGGAAGAACACCGCAAACTTGAAATGCAATGAAATGAGTAGATAGAAATGCACTATAAGGACAAAAGCATTGAGGCACCCCTCTTAATTATTAAAATGAGGTGTTTCATATAGACCCATTAACACAGGTGTATAAAATCAAGCGCCTAGCCATGCAGTCAGGTTTGCACACATTTGCAAAGGAATGGGTCACTCTAAAGAGCTCAGTGATTTCAAGCATGGCACTGTCATAGGATGCCACCTTTGCGAAAAGTCAGTTCATGAAATGTATTCCTTGCTAGATATAACACCGTCAACTGTAAGTGGTATTATTACAAAGTGCATTTAGGAAACAGAAACTTGGCCACAAAGTGGCAGACCATTATGCTGAGGTGCATAATGTGTAAATTTGTCAGTTTACTCAGTAATTGCAGAGATCCAAGCTTCCTCTGACATTAACTCCAGCAGAGAAACCATGAGCTTCATGTAAAGGGCTTCCATGGCCGAGCAGCTGCATGCAAGCCTCACATCACCAAAGTCAATGTCAAGCGTCAGATGCAGTGGTGTAAAGCACACCGCCACTGGGCTCTGAGGCAGTGGAAATGTGTTCTGTGGAGTGAAGAATCACGCTTCTCTGTCTGGCAGTCTGATGGACGAGTCTGGGTTTAATGGTTGCCAGGAGAACGTTACCTGCCTGACTGCACTGTGCCAGCTGTAAAATTTGATGGAGGAGGGATTATGGTGTGGAGTTGTTTTTCAGAGGTTGGGCTTGGCCCCTTAGTTCCAGTGAATGGAACTCTTAATGATTCCCCATACCAAGACATTTTGGACAATTTTCCAACTTTGTGGGAACAATTTGAGGAAGGCCCTTTTCTGCTCCAGCATTACTGTGACCCCAGTGCACAAAGCAAGTCCATAGAGACATGGGTGGGTGTTGAACTTTGGTGTGGAAGAACTTGACTGGCCTGCACAGAGCCCTGACCTCAACCCCATCAAACACCTTTGGGATGAACTAGAACAGAGATTACGAGCCAGGCCTTCACACCCAACATCAGTGCCTGACCTCACAGATACTCTTCTTGACAAATGGGACAAAAATTCACAGACAATCTTGTGGGAAGCCTTCCCAAAATAGTGGCAGCTGTTATAGCTGCAAAGGGGGGACCAACAACATATTGATGCCTGTGAATTTAGAACAGAATGTCATAAATGTTCCTGTGTGTGTATTGCCCAGGTGTCCCAATACTTTTGTCCATATAGTGCAGATTTAGCAACTGAATGTCCTGTAATTTAATTCATCTAAACCTAGATAAATTAAAATAGAAAAATTAAATCAGAGTATAATATGACTAAAAATTGCATTTTTGTCCAAAGACTATAACAAAACCTAAATCAAAAAATGCAATCAAAAGTGAAGGTGAATTTAAAGATACTAATTAGCTATGTTTTTGACTGGGGGAGAGACCTGCAGTACCTGCAGGAAACTCACATAGACAGAGATAGAGCACTGATACCCCTCATCACACTCAGAGAGTGCGTAACCACAGAGGTGTGAGTGATACAGAGCAGAAATATACTGTAGTTACTGTTATCTGGTTTACTGGAAATTTAATTTAATGCTGTTATAACAGGCAACAAACTGTAGTAGCTATTTGTAGAATACAATAGCAATGTAAATACTAGCCTGTAACACTTACTTGAGTACTGTACTTAGCTACATTTTTCAAGCGTCTGTACTTTACTTGAGTATATATTTTTTGGAAACATGATTTGTACTCCACTACATACTTTTAACTCGACATCATTTCTGTGAAGGATCTCGTTACTCAGTACCGGGAAGCATAGCTTCAAAGTTAGCAGACAAATTTTATTTTTTAAAATGCAATAGGCCATATTGTGTTCATCGCAGGAGAAAACCCTACTCCTACGCTGTCAGTTTTGAAGCTAGTGGTGTTTCACTGGGCTGTCTGCCTGATGCACACACACACACACGCACATGTAGGGTATATACATATCCTTATGGGGACCGCTCATTCATTTCAATGGGAAAAATGCTAACGCTAACTATGACAACCTTAACCCCTACCCTGCCCTAACCATAACCATAATTAACCTAACAAAATACAAGAGTTTTTGCATTTTTAGTTTTTTCATAGCAGTCACCGATTTTTATAAAATAGAGTTTTCCCTTATGGGGACCAGGAAACCGGTCCCCATAAGGGAAAAAAAATAGATATTTATCACGTTATGGGGACATTATGTCCCCATAAGGATAGGTGAACCCGCTATCACACACGCACGCACACACACACACACACACACAGACTACGTATCTATGTGTTTGCATGGACTCTTGTTTCATTTCTATTGACAAAACCCTAATCCCAACTATGGCAGCCTTAACCCTAACCATAAGTAACCAAACAAAACACATGACTTTTGGCATGTTTAGTTTTTTATCAAAAAATTGAGTTTCCCCATTTGAGGACCGAGAAAAATGTCCTCACAAGGTCCAAAATAACATTTGGTCCCCCCAGTGTAATATATACTATATATGACAACACACACATTGAAAAATATCTGTCAGAATAATACTATGCTATTTTGTAGGGGTGGGGTGAGGAAAGTGTTAAATTAAAAAAAAAAAAATTACAAAGGCTATCCTTTAGTCAATTCAGTTGTGTTTCTATAGTCATTGTATCATATTCCACAAGCTTTTTATTCTCCAGGATCTACAAGCAAGTCTGAAGTGCATTCAGTAGGTTGTTTCAGAGTCATTAGGTTCTGTAAATGCATTGTGGTAACAAATAGAACAATGCACTGGCATCAAAAAGAACATGCAAAATAAATTACTCCAGTATTTTAACTCAAGTAAAAATCTGACTGAATAACTTTCACTTGTATTGGAGTAATATTTGACCAGAAGCATCTATACTGACTCAAGTAATGGAATTGTGTACTTTGTCCTCCTCTGTCAGTCATTATTAGCAAATGATCCTGTCTTAAGGTATCAACACATTTGTAATCAAATAATTCCACTGAATATACAGTTGTTGCTTTATAATTACCAATATCCTTATTATTGCCTTCCATTATCATCACTTAGCTATATGCAAATTGTTGAGTGCATGTGCTATTTTATTCTTTTTTTAAGTCTATATTCTTATTGTGCTTTGAGCTGAAGGCCACCAGGGTTTTGATAACATGTAAATTAACCAATAAAATGCTCTGGTTGGTGGGACAGCAACTTGAGGAGAGTAGAATGGAGGACCAATAGGAAGCCCAGAGTGATGAGCAAAGCAGAGGGTGTGATAGGTGGTGCTGACAATCTTCAGCCTCAGGCTTGTCCCTTCTTGACCTACCACATATTTCAGGGTATTTAATTGTCTACTGGCTGCATGTAATGTCATTAAAGTGTGTTTAGATTTGTTTTTCCCCATTTTAAACTGTACTGCCACTAAAGCCATAATAACCCCACTTTCCACCATACAATAGCACTTGAGAGGGTCTACTAGTCCTGCCTGTGTAATCCGGGTTAATGGGAAAACTGCAGTATGTTAGCCCTGAAATAAACGGCAAGAAGCCCGGAAAGGCTCCACATGCTGCTCCATGCCAGGTCCACTTGACGATGGGCCGCTGCTGTGGAAAATGCCTGGAAATCGGTCACCCCTATGCATCGATTAACCAGGCTAAAAAAGTACCCATTAATCCATAGATAATTAAATGGCTCTGCAGGAGATCCTGATGTAGTTGTCTCTTATCCCTATGATTTTACCCTAACATAAGGTCAATTGAAATCTTCTCCAGAAGTGTTGGAGTGAACCAACGTTTTGGGTCTAGGGCAGGGGTGGGCAATCTTATCCGCAAAAGGGCCGGTGTGTATACAGGTTTTCGCTGCAAGTCCCTAATTAGGTAACTAATTAGAGGACTGATTGGCTGAAGAGTCCTCACACCTGGGTTTGAACAGCTGACCTACAGCTTATCCCAAAAACTGGCATACACACAGGACCTTTGCGGATAAGATTGCCCACCCCTGGTCTAGGGTAACAACCTAATCCATGTCAGGAGGGACACTTTGAGCTACTTCAGGTTTTACAAACTAATTTAAAGCTGAAAGGCTCCTATGCTAAATTGCTTGGTTCGTCTCATACTTTTACTGGTTTGTTTTTTTGATTGAAAGACTCATGCAGCTGTTTCACATTAACATTCGAGACACATGCATGATTACAGGTGACTGACCAATCAGCACACAGCAAAAACTCAGCGCTTTAGTAAATCCCAGTTCTTTTAATTGAAATGGTTGAAATGGTAGTTTACAAACCCTGTCGTAGCTCACGGTGTCCCTCCTGACATAGATTAGGTGGTCACCCCACTTGGATCTAACAAAACGTAATAGAGTTTGTTCAACTGTAATCCCTGTAAGAGGTGGCTATTTTGAGTTTAAGGTTTATCCTGTTTTTTTATTACCTACATGGTTTTTGTTCTTTATTATGCTTTATTAAGTAAAACTCCTAGTGTTCAAAAACCTTGACTGGTAGAGTGTGTTCGTATGACAGTGACAACTCACGGTGGTGCTTAACATTGTTAAGTCATGTGTGGGTCATACAGCAACCAAGTACAAAAGATTTCCTAATGTCTTACCGCTAGAAATGCTGGACTGATGGCCACCCAGCACAATTTCCAGAATATTCCAGGAGAGTAGCCCAGCATCGATTTGACATCATTGCTGAATCTCTTGATACCTGCATCAGAAACATGAATGATCATAAGCAGTTCTAATGCAGGGTTTGGGAAGATGCAGTGCCTGGTGCCGCGTTATATTCAATGCTTTCACTAACTTATTTTTTACTTTGTGGGATTCCCATTCAACTGATAATAACTTTAAGCAGTTATTTGTATTTTTCACATTATTCTGCACCAGGCGAACACCTCCTGAATCTAAAACAGTGTCTAACATTAATAGTAACACTGGTTGATGCTCAAAATTAAACAAAAAGTAATAGTTCATTTGACCTGATTATTGCATGAAGTATTCTCTTCTTTAAGCGTTAAATGGCCCATTTAGAATTTATCCTATGCTGTATCATACCCAAGTCTGATGTTCCATCCATCCATTCCTTATTAGTAAATGCCTAACCAATCAGAATAATGGTAGTCATAAAGCTATCCCAGAAGTCATGTGGCAGAGAGCAGGGACGGAAGTGCCAGTTCATCACAGGTACCTACGGGTGCCCATGTCTCCTCACGTTCCATCTATTAACCCCTGCATGTATCCATCCATCCATCCATCCATTTACATGTACATGTACATGTACTACTTGTACAAGAAATGGTGTCAGTGAGCCTATCCTAGAAAGTATGTGACTGGAGACACTCTGGATGGGACACCAGTTCATCGCAAGGCACACTCACAGACGTATTTTCTCAAACTGAATCTATACAATTCATTTGATTATTATTGCCTTCCGCTTCTTATACTGGATAAAGTAGGAGGTTATGCTATCATCAGCATCTTACCGTAAAACCAGGACACTGCAACGGCTTCCAGAAACCCAACAGCAATAATGGAGCAGCTGACACCAAATTCCTCCAGGAGCTTAACCACGTACGCACCGCCCTGCAGAGCACAGCAGTGTGACACTTGCAATGGGCAAACCTGTAAATATGCCAATGACCTGTTATGCCTGAGAGTACTGCCTAGGCAGTGTTACTCACATTGGTAAGGGTGCTGAGAGAGCCCAAAAAGCACACGGTGACCAGGCCCAGTACAAAGAGCTCCCTCCGCTGGTACAGGTACTCTGGGTATTCGTCCAACACGGCAGTGATAATGGCCTCCAGTCCACCAAACTGCATGAATATACACACCATCGGCTGCCAATCACATCTATTCTCACAAGTTTCAAAGGCTCTCCCAGTCAAAAAAAATATTGGTGTAAGTTAACAGAATTCCAGCTGTACCGTGCTGTCCAACCCCAGCGTGATCATCATCACGAAGAAGATGATGGCAAAAAATGTGGATCCCATCATGTTGGCAATGGCTTCTGGGTAGGTGATGAAGAGCAAGCTGGGCCCTGTGAATTACCCGTACAGACACCAGAATGTGTCACAGGAACGTCTGTCTGTTGCTTACAATTCAGCAAAGCCCACAATTATATCACAGTTTCGTTCCTCTAATACAACTGTTTCCTAAAGTTCTTTCACAAAATTACCATCTCAGTGATGCCACAATTACAACATGAAGGTGACCAGAGGAGACATTCCATTGTTTAGCTAGTCCTGGCTGCCTCTAAGTGTCCGTACCCAGCTCCCCGGAGGCACTAACCCTTATCCTTAGCGACATCCTCTACATCCACCTTCCTCATCTCAGCCATGTAGCCCAGCACGGTGAAGATGACAAAGCCAGAGATGAAGCTGGTCAGACAGTTCACCAGGCTGGTCACGATGGCGTCGCTGTTGAGGAGGGGAGAACGGCAGACATTCTGGCTTACAGTACACTGCATTCACCCTGCTGGGCTGCTCAGCAGTCATCTTGATGGTTCTTATACCGTGTTCTGTGCACTGTGTTGTGTGGGATCTTGACAGAGGCATTACTCCAGAAACCTGCATGTGTCTTGCTGGCTATCTCAATGACCTGCCATTAGGCCTTCAAAATGGGCCAAAACAGGTGCTGGCAGGGTTCTGGGACCTGACAGATGTCCAAGTTACTTACTGGGCACTAAACAGAAAGGTCTTAAACCTTCCATTGGGGTAAATTCTATAAATGACTTACAGCTTTAAAGCACTACATCTATTAATGGAAACAATCTTACTGAAGCAATTCAGGTTAATTACAGTCAAAGTGGTAAACAGTAGAGACTGCCCTGAAACTTGAATATGGATTAAGTGACCAGTTGGCCTACGGTGATCCCATCCCTGCTCTGCCTCACAACATGTGGTGTGGTCCCCACCCCCAAGGACACAGCTATGGGGTATTTCATCCATCAGCTTGGATGAAGATAATTCTCGGTCCATTTGTTGACCAAATGTGGAGGTCTGTTATTGTGTCATGTTCTCAAACCACTTAGGTTAATTATTAAGAAATTAAAAAAAAATCTATTTTTCTCTCAGGAGGAGCATGCTATCTATCTATCTATCTATCTATCTATCTATCTATCTATCTATCTATCAATCTATCTATCTATCTACCTCCCTCCCTCCCTCAGCAGTGGTGAGACCCGGTCTCACGACTGCTGTTGAATCATACTTTTGTTAGGCCTTTAAAGTCATGTGATGATCCTTCCGGACCTTTATGGATATTCCAAAGGTGGGTAAAGGGGATGTGAGTGTGTACCAGGCATCTTTATAAAAGATGGGTCATGCGGCAGGGTGTGCATACCGGTAGCAGTTGTTGGTGAAGGGGTTGTAGCTGGCGAGGGCCAGGAGCACACCGAAACCAGGGCCCAGGGAGAAGAAGATCTGTGCGGCTGCATCCACCCACACCTGAGGAGAGGGGAGCCAGGTCAAGAGGGGCGCGCCGTCACACCGGGGGTTACTAAGTCAGCATATTCCTCCACACATCAGCGCTCGTCTGCTCAGTGCCTGAGGAGCCATGAGGGGTACAGGGTTCGAATGTTTCCCGAGACAGAGATATCATTCTCCTGAGTCTTAACATTATAAATAATTTCCTATAATGATAATAATACATTGAATTTTTGTAGTGCCTTTCAACATCCCAAAGGCGAAAACACAGAGCATGGCGAGTAATAAGCACAGAAAAATTGACTGAAAAAGTAATACATCAATAAGGAATACAAGTATTACATACTAGCTATGCAAATGGAGGGGAAACTGTAGCAAGATGAGTGAGCAGGACTCAGAAGGGTCAGAGTGAACAGCAACAGGATCTCTATGATTCTATATGAATCTATGATTAAACAGCCAACATCATTTAACAAGCTTCCGGGTTTAGAATTTAACTCGAACCCCTGTCCTTCCAGCATCCCTGGGCCTACGGAGGCGCTATTGTCCTGTTTTCTGAGCTGTCACAGTGGATGAGGGGCACCCCTTTCTGAGCTGAAATCAGAGGGCTCTCGCAGCATTCGCCCCTGGCCGTACATCTGAAGAGGACCCTAGGATTGTTCCTGGATGGGATGCGAAGGAGGGAGAGAGCGAGCGCGCCCTTTGTCATCAGAAAATCCGAGCCCAATTAAGCATCTCATAAGCCGCTGGGCCTTTATTCATGCATTTCATTAGCCTGTTCTCTTTGATGGGCAGCGCTCGCCTCAGCATGGATGTCCACGGCGCGTTTCTCTGTGAGGACCGGAAGCACATGTGTGGAATGCAAAAAAAAAAAAAAACGACAGTGAATGGCTGCCATGTTATTTAAGCAGGTGAGTTGAGAACCGCATTATAGCTGCAGTAAAACGTTCACTTTGTTTGTGGGCTTTTTGTTTGTGTGGCTGCAGATGTGTCGTAATATTTCTGCCGACAAAGGTTCAGTAAATATCCTTGCAAAGACATAAACCTCTCTAAGGATAGCTTGTTCTTGGGACAAAAAGCAGAAATTCACCACAGGAAAAGTTTTCTTCTGCAACATATTTGACTGATTTTTGTGCAGTAATTGAGAGTGATTAATTGTGTGAAGGCGAGAGTCAGGGTGACTCTTCAGACCGGATCACTTCCATGGCAGCGACTCACGCTGGTCTCCAGGAGCTTCTCCCACTTGGGCCGCAGGTAGAACTCGACACCCCTCCAGGCTCCGGGGAGGGTGGCGCCGCGAATGAGCAGGACGAGAAGCACCACGTAGGGGAGGGTAGCCGTGACCCACACCACCTGCCGGGGCAGCACAGGAATGCACAGCTGGATACCAATTCACACCCACATATGTTCTGCTGGTCAGCTAATGTTCAACATCATCTTCTCCACCGGTCCTCTCTCTCCAGATGTGCCCTGTCACGCACTTTCTGAAACAGCACAAGGTTGGTGTACACACTGAACAGGGTGCCAGTGCATGACTGGCCAGATACACACAGACACCACTGGCAATTTCGAAATGCCAATTAGCTGCAACCCTGGGGGAAATCCACATGACACTGGGAGAACACGCAAACTCCACACATGTAGAACATGGCTGGGATTCAGACACCCCAAATGCTACCCACTGTGCCATTAGACACTTCTCCAGTTTTATAATTGTTATATGCAATGACTTAGGGGAGAGTTTGGAGGGCACACAACTTAACAATTTAAATACAAAGGTCTGTTTATTGGGGGGTGAATGAATCCAAATTAAATACTGGGGGGTACACGTACCCCCTCGGTTCCTACACCCCTAGTTTTGTGTTTCCTTGACCTTGAGCCATATTTATGGTGCATTCCATCCAGCCATAGATCCATCCACAGGGCATAAGGCAGAGGACACCCTGGATGGGATGCCAGTGTTTAAATATATAAAATATTATTTATAATTACATTTTCCAAACATCTGTTAGTACCTGGCGTGCTTAAGTGTGATATGAATGTATCATATCTGTATGACTGTATCATATCTGTATGAATGTGTAGTCTGCTTACAGTGTTCATTCAGGATCTTTTTAAAAACAAGACAACATATGGAAAAAACTAAAACTGCGGTAATTATTTCATTTAATTTTTTTTACTTTTTACTTTTATTGCCCAACTTTGCCTTGCTATAATTACCCCGTCTGCTTCTGGCTAGCTACCGTAGGCTAATGCTGCATGCACAGAAAACATGACGGGGAAAAGAAAGTCATTTTCTGTCAGTGACAAATATAGACTCATCAAAGCTTATTATGCCAAAAATGAGTCAAATAAATACAGCAGCAGAACTACAATATGCTATATTTTATTAAAATTCATTTAATTTGTACAGTACTGTAATTTGAAAAGCATTTGAAGCTTATTTTGAAAGAGTCAGTAAAATTCAGTAAATAGTGACACTATTTTATATTCTATCCATCCATTCATCCATCTTTTGTAACTGCTTATCCTATTCAGCCAGGGACAGGGCACAAACCCATCGCAGGGCGCATTTACACACCATTCACTCACACGTCATTCACTCACACACCATTCACTCACACACTCCCACTTACACACCATTCACTCACACACCATTCACTCACACTCCATTCACTCACACACCATTCACTCACACACATTCACTTACACACCATTCACTCACACACATTCACTCACACACATTCACTCACACGCCATTCACTCACACGCCACTCACTCACACACCATTCACTCACACACCATTCACTCACACACCATTCACTCACACTCATGAACGCCTATGGGCAGTCTTGTAACTCCAATTAGCCTTTGGACTGTGGGGGGAAGTCAGAGGAAACCCCATGACGACACACGGAGCCACAGTGGAGACTCAAATCCTGGTCTCAGAAGTGTGAGGTGATATTACTTGTCACTGTGCCACCCCTAACATATATTCATGTAATAAATATACAAATATCAATTAGATGGTAATCTGCCTGGGACCAAGAAAATGAAAAAATCAGTTACAATCATCATCCGCTTATAGTGATCAGTTTCACCCAGACAGACATGATCAGTGGTTTCCACTGTATTAGTTAAATATATTTTTAAAGCATGAACTGTTAAATAAATAACCTTCTTCTTGTTGCCCTTGTCACTTGCCTGGTTTTCTGATCAATTCACAGCAGCACAGGAAATTACCAAGAGTCACATTTGCAAACCTGTGTTTTTGCAGATCAGCAGTGGTTTGTTTGAAGGGTTCCCTGGCTTGAGCCTCACCTTCCCTGATGTCTTAACACCCTTCCAGAGGCTGAAGTAAACGATGGTGAAGATGAGGAAGAGGCAGAGCAGGAGCTGCCAGCGGATCCCACCGACATTGCGCAGCCCAGAAGAATTGTGGATTTCCAGAACGTTTCTCCTGTGATAGTGAGGGAAAGAACACAAGGTGTTTAATTTAGTGAGACATGTTACAGTTTCACACGCACCCTTAATCTGCTCCATTGGCCACCTGCTTTTATTTAAAACAGACTATGACAAAAGTTAAATATCCGAAAAAGGATACTGGACTGATATTCCCCACATTTGACCTCCCCTCTCCACCGCCTGCTTACACACACTCACGTGTAAAACTCCTCAGCAGGTGACCTGGAGAAGTTGGTCCAGGTGACATTGTTGTTGCCAAAGTAGTTGGTGCAGTTGATCGTGTTCCACACGTTGTCACAGTTGGTCCAAGGCAGAGTGCTGGTGAAGGACGAGTAGAAGTAGAAGAGGGCCCAGGCAATGATGGTGTTGTAGTAGAAGGACACATACAACCCGATGACGCAGATGGCAAAGCCAATTCCTGTGATGGGCCGTAACCACAGAGACAGGCATCCAATCAGGGCATGGCTTTTAGTGAAGCAGAACGAGGTGGGGGGCACTGGTGATTCATGAGAGGACAGCACTGTTACCTTTGAAAATTGGACATATGTGCTTCCATATGGAGATGGCCCCCGTCCTGTGGAACTGCCCCAGTGCCAGCTCCATGTAGAAGAGTGGCACCCCCCCAAAGACAGCCATCAGTATGTAGGGGATGAGGAAGGCCCCTGTGCGCAAGGCAGAACAGGGATAAACAGAAGAGGGTCTAACATCCAGACCTTATAACATTCATGGTGACCTTTGTGCGAAACAGGACAGCTACAGGTGCCGATGTGAGCCACATGCAATCTCACACTGAACGACTGTTAACTTTGAAAGAAAAAGTTATGAAGTGATTTGAATATCTTCAATGATTTTCAAATATTTACTGAATTTGTAATCAGATATAGAACCAGTTTGGTTACACATACAGGCCACATTACTACTTCATTTTGTTTCATGGGTATGACAAGGCTTTTGGTGTGTGGCTCATTTTCAGATAGTTGAAAGGCACTGTGAATGTTCCTCAAAGGTGGTTTTTGCTTGATGTTAGAAACAGAAAAATGATGTGCAGGCACACAGAATGTTTATGTGGACCAGTGGCTGTATATTAATGAAAAGCCTTTGTGGCTCCAGTTAAGAAAAACAAAACAAACAAGCAAACATATAAACAAATAAATGCAATGTGAATAAATGACAGTACCAAAACATAGATATCCTGCAGATATTTACATTCATAGTTTTACGAATTTTCATGTATATGTTCCTTAAAATGTTTTAATTCATATAAAAATTTCTTACAGTCATTCCCTGCATATAAATGGTATAAAAGCCCACATGAAATGCCATAAATCAATCAATTAGCTTGCTAATAAATATGTCTTAGAAATCTATACTTTTCCGGAGAGTAAGCTTATTATACTCTCCTAGTGTAATCACTGTATTATAGTTTTACTTATCTGTAGTTGATTGTTCGTAATTGAACCGAAAACCTGTTTCTTCTCTTGAAGCCGTGTGCTAACCAGACCACAGCTGACAAGCTTAGACTGCGATTCCAGCACATCAGGACACAGCACAGCTGTAAAACTACTCCTTAATGTAAGCAGATGCTGGCCGATGTTGAAAAATTATACTGAAGAGGCGAAAAATACTACAGTTCATGCGCAATTTTCACGTTTTACGTATTATTCGACTTGTTTCCATTTCATTTGGGCTGTCTTCCTTCACTTTGAATATCATAAACAGTTCTAATATTTGACCTAAATTTAATTCAAAGTAACCCAATAAACTCAGTATGAATTCAAAGTTATTCAAATTTTTTAAATAGTGTTTGATTTATAGCCTACCGTTTCCTTTTTCTGTATTTTGTCGTAATTATTTTCCATATTTCTGATAGAGATATATTACATTTAAGTCTAATTTATATATGTATACGTTGTTACACATCTACTTATATAGGGCTAGGGCTTACAGAAATTATACGTGTATTTAAACACGGTATTGCTCAAGATGACCATATCACATTGTCTTTCGTTGCTTTTTGTTGCCACCGCGAGTAGCAAAACAACTACCTTTAATGGAAATAACCTCAGAATAAAACTACATGCCTGTTACCATGAGTGCCACTGATCACACTGAGCTGATCACAGCAGGTTGACTAACCCGACTGAAGTAATTCAAGTTCAAATTGACAAGTTAATTACATACATGCAAAGCTAATACACACGTTATTTACACCACACTGCACTACAGTACAGTATTTGCACACTGTTACAAGCACATTATTTTATAAATGCCACATATTTGAAGATTTATGTCTCTTAATGGTAAACAGGTTTAAAGTTTTAATATAGTTCTTACCGCCTCCGTTCTGGTAGCAAACGTATGGAAATCTCCAGACATTTCCCAGATCCACAGCGAAGCCAATGACAGACAAAAGGAAATCCATTTTTTTGCTCCATTTATCCCGGGAGTCCGTCTGGGTTAGCACAGGTACGGAGTTTGCGGGGTAAGCCGGGTTCGGCGGGCCCTGGGCTGGCAGGCTTCTCGGGGCACTCGATGAGTCCGGTGACATCCTTGCTGGAGTTAGAAAGTCGATTGGAAGAAACTGACTGGAGCAATGATTTGGAGGATGGGGAGGCTTTTCTTATTAGGGGCAATGACAGCAGCAGGAGGAGGGACGGCGTTGGCTGCTCCTTATCGGCCTTTTCAGAGGGTCTCTCACTCACGCCGAGCACAGCGACATCAGTGGTCTGCGAACGGAACCGCGAAAGGGCGAGCAGGAGACCAGGAACGAACTAGTTAGACGTTTAACCCCATCCCACAGAAAGGTTCGAGTTTGTAAAATAATGTTACTGCAGGTTTGTGCTTAAATTTGCAATATTTACTGTGGAACTGTTAATAAAGGATACAAAACATAAAAACATTTCCTATAGGCCTATTGTATATATTTTTTGCTTGAAAAAAATCTGGAAAAAAATTACTAACTTATATTCCTCGTGTAAGAATAACGTCACGAGGCAATAATAAGCCTACATTATAATTAAAGAAATGATAAAACTGGGAAGTACTACTACAAAATTCGTAGAAATAATTTTACGGATGAAATACCGTAGGTTGGTAATCATTGTCTTTCCATATAGGAACAGTACCATTATTTGGGGTACAATAAATTATTTACATTTATTTGATTATTATTGATGAGTTAAAAAACCAGGTTCCTTTATGTAATGTGTTTTCATGGGCATCAAGAAAAAGGAAGGGGTTTATGATGCGGGGAGTGATTTACCTTTGCATCATCCAGGTGGGGGGGCTACACATTGGAGCTGGTTGAAGTGGCTCCCCATTGTCTCCGTAATGCACTTTGGGTATTTTGAAAAAGCACAATATAAATGCAACTTCCATTCATTCATTCATTCATTCATTCATTCATTCACCTTGTTAACTGTTAGCAGTGTAACAAATTCTACTTTTGCTCTAAATGGTCTATGACGACCTTTCATTAGTTATGTCTGTATATAACTAGAACTTGGTTTGTAAACTGGGTATGTTGGTGGTGTAAGTAAAGGACAGAACACTCCTCCAACATGCGTGCCATGAAGATACATTTTACATTATAATAGACTTCAATCACTGAAAGCACCTTATGTGCTTGTATTTTGTTGCGTGAATTTTGCTACACGCAGTCCTGAAATAGGCCCCTTTTAGCTGTAAGATGAAAATCTGGTGTTTCATAGTTCCAAAAGTTCAAGCTGGCAGAAGATGGGGTTTGAGATCATTCAGTTTCCTGAACCCAGTTTAATGCGATTTGAGAGCTGTGAGCAGACGATAGCACTGCTGAGGTCTAATTGTGCTCATTAGGAAATGTAATAAAATGAGCTGGTAATCAAATCCGCCCTTTTAGCACAGACTGACTGAAGGAGCCTAACTGAATATAGCAACAGTAGTAGTAATCTGGTCGGTCAATGGGTAGATGTGCAAGAAACAAGGTTAGGTGCGAAAGAAGATATGACAAGAGAGCGGGTGAAGCCATCAGGCTGAAATTTGAAAATGTCACTTAAATGTCCACTACTGTCTGGTCCTCCTGAAATGCATGCAGAAATGGCACTTCTCTGTCTTTTATTTCACCATGATATAACTCCAGATTTCTTTGAGCCAGCTGGTAAGATGGATCATATCGAAGGTCTTGGCTTGATCTGCATGGGCTTTCTGCTAATGGCGCCAAAGTGGTTCCTGGATTCCAAACGAACCCCTTGCCTTAATGAGGAGTAGCTAATCCGGGGCGATTGCCAAGGGCAAGTTAGGTCTGGCAGCTCTGACCTGAGGAAAAGGACAGACCCGTTGAGCCAGCGAAAGGGCGACGGGGCAGCAGAGCGTTACACTGCGGTGTTTGCTACAGCAAAGTTCACGGTACAGTTCCTGCTGCAGCCTTGTCAAGGTGCAGTGGAGAGGGGGGGTAGAAGCACATTGTACTGACAGGTCTCCATCATGCTCCCATGATGCCATGCGGGCCTGTCTGCTCCAATCACACACCGAAGTGAGCATTTGTGTGGATGTCATGCCAATGTAATGAATGCTTGTTCCATATCAATATTCTGTAAGTTTATTCTCAATGTTTATCAGATTTGTTCCAGTTTTGTTGGTTAAAAACACCCCTTTGGGGGTTTCAACATGCCTGAACAGTGTGCGTGTGTTTGGGGGGGGGAGCATAAAGTCATGTCCACTTGTCTACTTCGGAAAAGCTTACATATAACCTTCTACCTCTGAAATCATAAGACTCAGAGGGCAATCAATATTGTTTGCCTCACCTGAAAATCACATTTTTGTTTTTTTTTTAAAAGATAGGGATATAATTCAGGCTTTAATTACAAAAGATTTATTGGTTTGCATTGAATGAACACCCTGGATTCGCAGTAATTGACAGAGGATTATCAAACGCACAAAATGTTGCCAGCAAGTAGGGGGTAATGTTAGGTAAACCCTGAAGGCGACGCCAGTCCATCCCCGGTGAGTCACACCCCCAAAGGACAAAGAAACTCTGCATTTTTGGGGGGTTTAAACGCCAATCCACTGTATTCCTTCATGTCCCTGCATGGCATAACGGGTACAAGATGTCACAAGACGTGCCAGTGGTTTCCGGGATAAGTGAAGGGGGTTTCATTTTCATGAAAAAAAAATCTTGTTGAAAGCCTAATGTGCAACTAATAGCCATATTGAATAACTTCATCTGTCCTTTTCTTCTCTTATAACCAAATATGTAATATTGAAGTGGACGGTCTGCAGTGCAGTGGGTTTGGGACCTGTGCTCATGTCCAGAACATCATGGGTTTGAACGCTGAAGCTGGCAGATTAATCACGTCACTGTTATGCCCTTAACCCCAGCTGCTACAGGAGATCTGAGCCCCTGCTAGCTGAGCCCCCGCTATCTGAGCCCGGACTGCCTTCACTTGTATGTCATTTTGGACACTGCAGAAGTCAAAGTATAGTTTACGCTCCTCAGAATGACTGTATACCAGTCTAACAGAATATCAACAACATAAACAATCAGCTTGACCAAAAACTACATGTTCATTCTATTAGGTTTTAATATAGTCGTTTTAAGCATGCCTACAGCATGGGAGTTTTTAGCTATTGAAAATATGAGGGACTAGGCCAAGTTTACCAGGGGCTTGACTTGGCATCGAGGTTAAAATACTCGGGGTTACAGCCCTGACCGATTGGACCTAACGATGCCTGTGGCCTATACCCCACATCCACAAGCAGGGCCGCCGAGAGAAAATCCGGGCCCTGCTACGAAGAAGGTGTGTGGGCCCTTGTACAAAATTTTACACACGTAGAATGAACAAGTGAGAACACTCGTTGATAGTCACTTTCACAAGTTTTTGTGCATTGACCGCTGCCAAGTACCCTGTGACACACGTGCCTTTTTAATTTTGAAACTAAACAGACTTGCAGAATTTTAAAAAGACAATAAAAATGAAATGAATTAAATAAATAAATGTTCATATTTGTCACGTACGCAGGGCAGGCGATCCGGGAAGCAGGGAGAAGGAGCCAGGAAGTCGGGTAAACGGGGTTTATTGAGGGAGAATCCACAATACGGGGAAGAACGACAGGTAACATTAATGACAAGTCTGGGGAAGACTGACTCAGACGAGGACTAAATACAACAGACAAGCTACGGGTAACGAGCCACAGGTGAGAACAATCAGGGAAAAACAGGAGGTAATGAGGTGGGCGTGGCACACATTAGGAGCGGACAGAGCGGGGCGTGACAATATTACAGTGATCCCCTGCATATCGCGGAAGTTACGTTCCATGGAGACCCATCGGCGAAAGGTGAAAATCCACGATATAGAAAGACCATATAAATAAACACACAGACACACACACACACACACATATATATATATATATAGTTTACGCCTTTGAATACCCCTCCCACACAATTGTTCTAACGAACTCTAGTCTAGCACGCGTAGTGACAAATGAAAAGCGTATGTACATTTTGTTATGAATTGCGACTCTGCATGTCTACATATTCCTGTACGTAGCAGTATGTTTTATGGTTTATTAGTGCATTGCTTAAATATTACGTATATGTCAGTTATTATAAATTATAATATTGTTCTAACAAATTTTTGTCTGGCATACGTAGTGTCGGCTGAAAACCGTATGCTTTGTTATGAATAGGCTGCAAAGCACACTACAGATAGGATGTACTTATTGAATTTTTATTTATATACAGTACAGGTATATATATGTTATAATTGCAGTAATACGTACATTGTTATTAATAGTTTAGCATAGAAAAATACTTATACATATAAAAAACGCTTTGTCAAAAACCCATAAAAAATGATCACTATAAAACCGCAGATTTCCGCGATAGAAAATTACATATGTTCCACAGAAAAATCCGCGATTCAGTGGGGGCGCAATACTTGAACCGCAGTATAGCTGGGGATCACTGTATAATAAAAATTATGGGGCGAGTTGGGCTTCATGGCCCCCCTTGAGCTTCATAGGCGATGCACCGGCTGCACCCCCCTCTTCTCGGGCTTGTCCACAAGTCCTGATTTACCACAGAGAGATACCATTGACTTGCCTTATTTGAGGGAGATCAGTCTTTTGCCAAAACTGCATGTTAGATTTTGGAGACTGTTAAATGCTTTCCTGCAACCTAGACTGTTAAAATGTAGCAAAATGTTCAGTGGTTCAATGCAACAAAACTCATTAATGCTCACAAGTCCACTGGGATTCATATGCACACTGTCACTGTTAAACTAGCACCTCCACTGTGCTGTGAAGGTATGGCTTTTCTATTTTAGGGAAATTTAATCAACAGACAGCAGTGTGCCTTTCCAACTAAACAGCCGAGAAATCGTTTTCCTTGAATTGGTGATAATGTCATTCTTTTTAGCACTGAACCCAAATAAACCATATTGCAGGCATCTGTAAAAGACACAGATATACAGGTAACTGCCAACATAAAGGAATCAAATGAAAGATAATGAGAGATAATAAAGAATACTGTAGGGAGAGGTATGGAAATCGCTTCAGGCGAGACGGCGAGCTAAAGCACCTGTCACAAGGAGAGGAGGAAAGGAACAATGTCCTCATGGAATGAAAACAAAAGACAGTCATTTTGAAATGAGCACAGGGAAATTAGACACACAAGAAGGACATTAGGTGTTGGAAACTCTGTGTCTGAGTCTGGTTTACTGGGTGCAAGAGATGGCAACACTTAGCATGATGGGAAATAAGGATCACGTGAACATTAGCTGCATATTATTTTAGCAACTAGCAGCAGAGGTGTTTGCTATCTGTTTCATGAATGGAACAGATAGCTGTTCTAGTGTCACAGCTGTTCTAGTGTCACAGCTGTTCTAGTGTATCTTAGTGGCCCCGCAACTTTAATGTTGTGCCCTTTACTAGTTCCTAGTGTATAATTCTCTGTGGAAGAATTCAGATGAGTGATTCCTTGCGTGGCCTTGAAAATGGACTGGTACCAAGATGTTCTGGCCTTAAGGCTCTCAGAGATTTATGGGAGTGGGTGGTTTGGGTGGTGCTTTGAAGTGGAAGAGATGGTCTGAGAAGGACGATCCACCACATTAGCTTCACGCGGCCTGATCCCCTCGTTGCAGGTGTCCTGGCCCCCACATTGCTGTCAGGCCTTATTACCGGCTTCCCCTTGCCATCTCATCCTCCTGACAGGTTTCAGCTTCCGGCAAGGCCTCAGTCCCATCCTGGCCCGCGAGAAACTTTCAGTCCATTTAATGGGAGGAACAAAGGCCCCAAATTTCAGAATTCTTCTGCATGCTGCCATTGCAACTGACAGCCATGTTGCACACAAAATTCTCTATATTTATAATCCCAGGATTCTGCCTAAAGTATTGTCAGTAGAGGTATGTGAATGGATTGTCAAACTCACTGTGTGTAGCAAGGTGGCATAGTGGGTTGCACTGTGTTCTCACACTTCAGGGGATATGGATTCTATTCTCACACCCATCTCTGTCTGTGGGGATTTTTCATATTCTTCCTGTGTTTGTTCATCATCCAGTTCAAAAGCACACAGGTTGATGAATTGCTGTCTGTAAATTGTCCTGAGTGTGTATGAGAATTGCCAGTGATTAGCTGGCATCCCATCCAAGGTGCTGCCCTCTGCATTGTGCCCTTAGCTTGATATCATCACTGCAGCCTTATGCGGGTTAAGCAGCTATGACAGATGGGAGGATAGATAATGCTAAGTCTTTGTGTAGGCCATTTAAATATATGGTTAGTGAGCAAACTATAACAGTTGTACCACATCAGTCTTGGACATTTTGATTATTAGGTAACACAAAAGTAAAGATCTGGGATTGTGAGCAAGTCAGTAACAGAAGGAGCCATACAATTATATCCATGTATGTAGTTATTAATTTACATCACTTCTGTGACTCAAATCCAGCTGCATTAAATGGGTGAAGTGTTAAACTGTAAATTGTGCGAGTCACTTTGCTTACAGAGAACATACAGTGATAACTGAAGATTCCACATTGTGTCCAGCATGAAGCAGAATTCTACGCAGCAATATCACCACCTGCTGTTCAAACGTATCTTTGCAGGGCCGCTATTTAACACGGATTCAAGGTCGGTGATGAATTAATAAAATAACGAAGGTAAAATACGACGATAAATGGAAAATTTATATTTGATATTTTTCCCTTTGTAAGCACACTTGATTGCTTAAAACAACATTTAAGTTAAAACTTTAAATTGATTAAGGCGACTAGACAAAAAGGTCGAATCAAGCACCATAAATAAGGATATGCAATTTGGTGATAAACACACACATGCGTTTGTATTTATATCTTTGTGGGGATCATCCATTCATTTTTATGGGAAAATTTTCTAATCCCAACTATGATGGCCTTAACCCCTACCCAGTCCTAACCTTACCCATAAGTAACGAAACAAAACACAAGACTTCTGACATTTCTATTTTTTTGATTGCCGTCACATATTTTTTTATAAAATTGAGTTTTCCTTCTTGGGGCTGGAAAAGTGGTCTCCAAAATGTGAAAATAAGTTTTTCTCTCTCTCATATACACACACACATACACATACGCGCAATAATAATAACACTAATCCCAACTCTGACAACCCTAGCCCCTACCCAGCTCCAACCGTAACCATAAAAAACAAAATACAAGACTTTTGGCTATTTTAATTTTTTTACTTCGTTTACAAACTAAAAAATAACATTTAGCCTCCAGGATGAGGTGAATACACCCCCCCCCAACACACACAAAATTATTTGTTGTATTTCATATTTTGACCGGAAGATGGCAGACTGTAACTTATTTGTCGAACGTGATCGCTTTCAGTGATACCCATTTTAACATGATCAATGAATAATCCTCCATTTCATCGCTAGAGACTATCAGAGAGTTGCCGTTGTATTTTGTATAAGATTTTGGTTTAGTTATTTGATTGGTTTTCAAAGACACTTTAAAAAAGAAATTCACTCAAACTGATACAAAACGATTCAAAACATTAAACAGCATAACATCAAATTTTAACAAATTTTAATTTTGGATTTAAACCCATTTACTTATACATTTTCACTTTTGGGGCACATCGTCATAATTTAATGACCACATTGTCATACTACTACAGTCCAAATTTAACATTAAACCAGTATCAGTATTATACATTACTATATACTCCAAATGTAGAACTGGGACTATGTCTATCTGCATCTAGCACGATAACAATAATTTATACATGGATATTGGTTAAAAAGAAAGTTCAGCTGGAAAAACTGTAATTCCATGGTTAATTGTGTATTTTTCAGAGTGGCTTTTTAAAGTATTTTGTTCTTTTAAATGCCTTGGACATTTAATAATTAATGTACACAAAAAGAAATGTATGCTGTTTATGTCATGCACTTTGTAGGCCTATTACTATCAGTAACAAATAGCAGTACTTCACATATGACATTTTGCATGACTTTTTGTTCAAACAAAAGTATGACTTAAAACGATATTTAAAACTATGCCTTTAAATGCATGCCTCGTTCCTTTTTGTGTTCTGGCTGTATTACCCACCAAGAAAAGTGGAAAGAGGAAGGGAGAATATATGTCCGATTTGTCGATGTCACTGAATAGGCTTTGGGACGTTGCCTAGCAACACATCTGCTTGCAGAGGATATGTTTTCTTGTATTCTCGACCGAATTTCCATTTAGGCCGAGCTCAGAACCCCTGTGTAACACACATAGTTGTGCCATAACTGAACACTCATATGCAAAAAATGCCCCAGTGCCAGCAACTTGTGGGTCTATATATTCAGATTGAATACATAAAGAGAGCGATAACGCATGTAGGCCTTATTATTTACTCTTATAGTCTCTTATAACCAAGCCATGACAAGTACAGCGACGACAACGACTACTACTACTACTACTACTAATAATAATAATAATAATAATAATAATAATAATAATAATAATAACAACAACAACAACAATAATAATAATCAGAAGAAGAGGGGGAGGAGGAAGACTTGTTAATATTTTTTATGCCTAATAGCAAATCTTACTCACAACTGACTAATAACATGTTTTATTCCAGGAAAAAAATATGACAGGAAGTATAGCATACTGACATTGCAGTCCTTATCCGTTTGTTTAAAGGGTGTGTGTGCGTGTGTGTGTGTGCCCGCGAGCGTGTGTGTCTGCGCGCGCGCACTAGCACATGCATGGCACGGCAACGAAATCATATTTTCAATTTTCCTACAGGGCCTTTTTCCACCGAGCCGGCGTGCAGCACATCGCAAAATAAAGCGCGGTCACCGCGCAAACGCCCTTCTGCGCTAACCATCTCCCAGCCTGATGCGTGCGAAGCGCTGGCGAAGGTCAGCATCCGTCTCCAAGCCAGTTAGAACGTAGCGTCGCGGACTAGCACATCCAGTACCCGTCCCGGTTTCTCTGGGACTCTTCACTCACATCTCCGAGTCCCTTTAAAGGTCGTGTTGACGCGGGTCCGAGCGCCGACCTCCGTGAAAACAGCGGCGCGCGAGCGGCTATCGCTGGAAGCTGCGAGGAACCGACCCCGACCCACCGACCGAATCCATGGCAACAGCAATGGCAGGTGAGGAGATCATTTACACTTTTACCGATTATGTTTTAACAAAACCGACAAATCGCACTTTGAACCGATAAGCGAGTATATTTATGCGATTACATTTTTATTTTATTTTGTTAGAAGCGGAGACCCGACAGAAACTGCTGCGCACCGTGAAGAAGGAGGTTGGTGCCTTTCCGCCTGAACAGTAACATCGTAGCAGAAAAGTAAACATGCGGGAAACGTGTATATGTATATATATATAGGCTACGCATACAAATAACGTTTAACATATTTTTGTACCTGCAAAATTTGCGATGGTTGGGGGGACGTCGGAGTGTTTGCGTGTCACTGTGCGTTTTAACGCTAGAATAAGGAAGGAAACCTCAACATTTGTGTTGGATAAATGAGCCCTTTTTTATTTTAATCAAAGCAGTTGCCGTTCAAGTCGAGCACATGATGTCCATATAAGCTAACGTTTTTACAGGTTCCCGAGTATTAACACAGGAATGACTCACACAGTCCAAATTAATATTGAGACAGATCCCCAACAATGGAATTAATAAAACGACTGATGTTGCTTAATCAAGCCATACAATATATGTGTTTTAACTGTATATAAGGAGATGAATACAAAACATCGGATACCGTAAGGTTTGCGTTTTTAAAATACGTAAAACGCCTCTCAGGTGATTATAGGATGAGCATGCTGAACATCGGCAAACATCGATACCGTCATTTCCACATATCATATATAGATGTTTTTATTTATATTGTATGTTTTCTGTGTTGTTTTATTTTCAGCAACTGTTTTATGTGAATATATAGGCTATGTTATAAGCTCATGCTATAAATTACTTAGTGGATTTGCTTGTTACGAATGCAATCTAAACCATGTTGGCTGCACAAAACAGAATATTTTAAAGAGTTCCCTCACCAGGTATTAGTTAAATCTGATTAATCGCTATCCTTGGTTCGTTCGATCAATGACAGGATGTACATTTGCCGCCGACCCTTCAAAGTCAATACACATCCTCCGAGGCGTCCTGCGTAACGCTGTGGGATTTTATCTGTCATGTGTACCTTTGTTGGGTCTGATGGAGAGTTTGCTATTACTGGGTTCCAGTGAGTGTTTTTGAAAGGCAGCATCTTGTAGTGGCTGGGTGGGGTGGGAATGATGCGAGCTCGGTAGTAGCCTATCTGTTGGCGGTGGCCGATCACATCGTAGCGAGCGAAGCCCTCCGTAGGCTTTCTGGCGGCTCCAGCCCGGCTGCTCTCCTATTAGACCGAAGTCATCTTGTTGTACTTTATGTCGTTCACGGGTCTGTGCCTACATGTAGCTGTACAGAAAAAGAAACGCTTTACCACTGGTGGAAAAAGTACTCAATTTTTACACTTAGGTTAAAGTATAGATATACCGCACCAAAATGTCACTCAAGTAAAAGTAAAAGTTGTCCAGTAAAATACTACTCCAGTAAAAGTAATACCCTGTTTTAAAAGTACTTAAGTAAAAAGTAGACCTACTTTATAAAGTAAAACATTAAAATCTATTGATCTGACAAAAAGCAACCTCTCCTTTTAAATTCATTCAAGACGGATTTGAATAGCATATAGCATCATTAGTTTGCAGCACAATAAGGAAAGCTGATCGAGTCACATATTTTATTTTTATTCAGAAAAGCAGAGAAACTAAAATAATTTGATGGCGGAGATTGGCGGAATTACTTTTATGTTATGGAAAACGAAAGCTGGATGAACGGGCCAGATTTAATAATGAATTATGAACATTATAATATAAATATTGCAAATTATAAACGGTACTTTCAGACCTCTCATAAATGCTGAAAAAACCCTCATCCTCCACTACGGAAAACGGCTGGTCGCCCAATGCAATCATCACAATTATTTCAGTATTAGCTGTAGTGCTCCTCACTTCGAATATTAATGACATTTAAATATCGGTCGGCGATTTCGGTATATTAACCGATACATTGTGCATCTCTACATAGGCCTATTGTTTGTTCCATGTTAATAAAGAAAAAATGTAATTCTACATAATAATAATAAAGAAAAATATTGCTGAAGAATAGTGAATATAAAAAAAAACAGGCCTACTATATGTGATTCATATCTTACCCAGAATCGTGCAGCCCTGCGTTAGGAGCGCTGCCTGCAGCAATAGGCCATTTTTTTCTTAATTGGGTAACGATGGTCCTGCACAGTGTATCTGAGGAATAAGTTATTTGGCTCAGAATTGTAGTGAAGTGGAAGTAAAATACTTAAGTAAAGTACAAATACAGAAAAACCTATTTAAATACAGGAAAATGAAGCATTTGTATTGGGTTACTTTACACATCTAAGTTTTACAACTTCCGTATTGCAGTCTGTCTTACGTTTTAGCACACGTGGATTTGTACCAGGTGAGTCATTCAGTGCTGGAACCAGTCTGTTGAAGTCCTGTCCAGTTGAGGGGAACCTTTTAGCTGTCTACCTCAAGTAAACATGGACAGATCCCTACTGTTCTCTATACTAGAAAAACACCGCAAAGGTCCCAGAAATGGCCCTAATTCACATTCAAGTCAATTCAGTTTTATTGTTTAAATTTACAGAAGCGTACTGTGAGTTCATTCTTTGTTGCAGAATTTCCTAAAATGAATCCTAAATCTTCACTATTAGCAGGCACCAATAACAGATCAGGTTTCCTAGCAGTGCTGACATGGGCGTGTATCACATCCTCTTGTGGATGGTGGCTGACATGCAGCCCATTAAAATATGGCCTTCGATACTGTAGTTAGTAATAATTGTGCTCCAGATGCATATTAGCTGATGACCCAACCATGATGGCTGAGCCCTATTTTCTGTTGCTCATTAAAAAGAGACCTAGGTAGACTTAATGGCCTGTAAATTAATTATTATTAATCTGATATATTCAGATATTTTATGTGGGCAAGTTATTCTGCATGGCAGGGTCAATTTAGTCTTGCATTTTCTGTTTTATGCACAAGGAAGTGTACATTTTTAGAAGCACTGTTCAAATAATGAAGTATCTTATGTCATACAACCATTCAAAAATCAGTATGTGATTTCACAGACATAGACATATGTATCCCAGGGAGTGCACATTAAAAAGTGTAACCCTTCTGGCTACTGTGAGTTGCTTTGTATAAAACCAACAGATAAATGTAAATTTAAATATATATACTTTGCTTTTTATCATCTGTTAGGCTGTAAACCACTCACAGTATTGCTCATTTTGACTGAAGATATAATATTAAATTTGCTGGAAATTCAATTATTTGTACATATTTTGTTTCCAACCCCCCTCCCCCCAAATTGTGTGTCGTGTTTTTATTATAAGTAAGACTTAAAACACTTAATATACCTTTTCTTATTAGGGTACGGAAATGTTTTCTTTCTGTGAATATCATCACAATAAATAACCTACCAATGGTAAATATAGCCTTAAAAATGAAGTGTGAGCTGAGTTTGGTGTTCATATTGATCAATGCCCCATTAAAAATGCCATTATTTCCCCGCATGGCTGCAATGACATGCCTTTCCCATTTCTAGTTTTGTTCATGTTTACTCAAAGTGAAAATTTACATGTCTTGTCTCTGAATTAGCTGGCAGCAGTTGATACCAGTTAACTGAGGAACAACTTGACCACTGGATGAACTGCAAGATTTCTGGTTCTAATGTGCTGCTACAGGGTGTTTTGCAGGATTTGAAGCAATAGCTCTCTGGGTATGAGACTATTGCTGAGTTCCATCTACCACACAGGTCGGAACTGGGAATGACGTCACACAGGAGTTAACAGTGTTCCAGTACAGAGTCGGAAAGCCATTTAGCAATACCAGGGACACATTTCAAAAAGCAAGATTTCTTTCTTACCTGGATAAGTTGTCAGATTTAATTTATCCCAGTTAAAATGGCCTTATCTTTGTTCACTTGCATTTAGCCCAGACTACTTTAAATCCACCTAGTTGTCTGCTTAAGCAAGAAATCCTGCTTAATGAAACAGGCCCCAGTTCTAGCCTGGTTAATTGTTAGCTATTGTTAGCAATATCAGTGAATAACAACACATTACGCTGTATTTTGTGTAGCAACACGTCCACAGACAGCGGTTGGAGAGTATTGTGTGTACGACCAATTTAATGAGCCACAAATAAGACATAAATGCTAATAAACGGTATAAAACTACAGCTTTAACTTCTCTTGATAAAGAGTATAGCCATCTTGAATTCTGAGCTCGGGGTTATGTCAATTCCTCAGAGTTCACGAGTCGGAATTCCGACTTGAGGGGGCGTTCCAGTTGATATTTCCGACTAGAAACTCGAAGTTTATGAGTTACGAGTTCTAATGGAACGCAGCATGTGTCCTGAAACAGCTCTTTTCTCTCAGCAGAGAATTTTCTCCTATGTTACTTAATATGAAACCAACAAATACATTTATAATGTCAGAAATACTGTCAGTCTATTAGGATTGGTAATCAGAAAGTGTCAATCATTTGTGATAGTTATATGGGTTAGGCTTAGTAAAAATTTCACTGGTCAATATTCTGGAAAATGCAAGTCCCCACAGAAACACAAATTGTTTATTGTCCAAAGTATTGGTGAATCTGTGCCATTTCCATACATGCCAACCCATGTTATCTTTCCTGTGCCCCCACCCCCCCCAAATGGGCTGTCCTCACACCTGTATTTACACAAGGAGCAGGAATGCAGGCAGCATTTAGGGCTGTGGCTGCACTCTCATTTACTTTTTGTTATTAATCATTGAATTTTTTTGGACAGTCTGTGCAGTCAGAATAAAGTTTCAAGGACTAAGAAATGTACAAAGAATCAAGTCCTTTAATTAACTGTGACCAGCCTTAAAGAACAGCTCGTAATCACTGTCGACTTGTCGATGGTGAGCGGGATTACTGTACAGTTGTGGAAATGAGCCGTGAACTGTAACTGTAAACAGAAGTAAACCTGAATTTCTGGAGCAAGGGATCCTTCTGCATTTCCATCGTGTATTTTAATTCCACCCCCCTCCCTTGCCCCGGCCCACCCAGGAAATGCAAGCAAAAAAAACGTTCCAAGATACATAGAAGCACTCGTGTTTAACTAAAGATCAGATTTTAAACAAACTGTTGTTTTCACTTTTATTTAGCAAGTGCTTTTATCATGGAAGTTAATAGCCC